CCCCAAAACCCCAAAACCCCAAAACCCCAAAACCCCTGTATGCAAGTTAGAGACTGAAAATGTCGATGGTTGCTATAAATGGAGACAATAACCAAAATCGTGCTTAGACTCGCTAGAATTAAGCCTTCAAGGTCTCCAAAAGCAGAAAGTAGAGGAAAATATCATGCTAAGGTTCGTAGTAAGCTAGACCTCTATTTGAGTGTTTTACAAGAGCATTATCTCTCTAGAACGTGGAGTAGAGCAAGCAGAGATGGGATAACATTATCTTTCTTTCCCAATAGATTTTAGTTCATAGTCTATTATAGAAGAATTTCTGAGAGCTTTATTTATTCTCTTCATTTTATTTCTATAGGAAGAGTCAATAGATTCATAAAATTAGGAAAAATGTATCATCTTTATACAAATACGAATAGATAGAGTATGACCATGTGTAATTTGATTTAAACTCTCTTTTTCAGTACTGAAATTGATTTAGAATTATTCAAACGTAGTCGTAATTGGTATTCATTATTATACCTGGCCTTCATAGTATTTTAATAATCTCTGAGTCTTCTTAAAAATGTCAAATAAAATTTAATGTCAACTTTGGAAATCTGAGAGAAATTCATATGAAGAAGCTCTAAAAGATGCATATTGTGAATTTAAAGCTCCAGCTCACCTCTTTAGTCTATTGCCTTAATAAATCCCTGCTTAATTATTATAACAGTAATAAAATAGGCTAAATTTTAAGACGGCAGATGGATTCTCTCAGGAGGGGTGTCCTATCCTTTCAATATGTTAGCCAATCTTCGATATCTCAGGCCTCCATCAAGAGTTTTGGTTCCAAACAATCAGTATAAAGCCTTAGCATATAATTCACCCCATGCCCAAAGCAATTGGACGCATTTGGATGAACTTTTCCTTTTCCTTCGATTTGTCAAAAATCTGGAAATTTTTGAGAAAATAATTATAAGATTTTAATATTAAAGAAAGAAATTACAGAAATGGAAGAGATTTAGCAAATGGTGTTTTACTTAGCTACACTCTCATAGGACATCATTTAGGTTATTTCAAGAATGACGAGCGAGGGTTTTACCCCTCTCAGCTTCTAGCCTCTTCCTGCTTGCTAGCGGTTCAGGGAAATCGAGGAAATCAGGGAGAGTAATAAACCAAGTTTAGGTCTGAATGAGGTTTACTAGGAAAGAATTTAGCAGAAATTGTGCCTGGTTTCGATCATTTTCTCGTTTTCTATATCACTATGATACTTCCTTGCACAGGCTTAAGTAAGGATAACATTCTCATGTTTAGCTTCAGTTTAAACTCTTTATCGTAATTTGGAAGATTTTTCTCCTAAAATTCTGGGGATGGTTGAGAACCTCTGAATAATGAAGTAATTGTTTGAACAAGGCAGAAGATCGTTAACTTATTAAGCCAAGTCTGTAAAAGTCTTATCACTTAGAATACTCTTAAAAAGCTCTACTCTGAAAATATTCGCATTGCCATTAATTTCCAACATAAGTATTTTAGGGGACACTGGGTGATCAGTGGAAGTACTTGTTGAATTTTTCATCTGAATTATGAACGGAGAGAACCCAATATTACTAAAATACTAATAAAGGCCTTCTTATGAATGAAAAATAAGCCAGAAGAGCTCCTCCTTCTCCAATTTATGAAAAATTCATATAATTTAGCCCTTCATCCTGAGATTTTATGCACTGGTTGTCAGCTTTTGGTTATAGAAGAATTGAGTCCACTTGAATCGGCTTTTGGTGTAAAGAGGAATATATAAAGCATAGAAGAAGCCTTCAACAGAAAAGAAATAAGTATAGGCAATTGAGTGCGTATACGCTATTGATATACCTACTACTGCTATTAAGGCTTAATTGAAGTCTTATAGTCTCTTACTTAAAGAGAAAGGACACTCTCGAAAGTTTGAGAAAATTTCTTTTTTAATTTAAGTTACTTAACTAGCCTAGTGTTGTAATGGAGACATCTTTCAAAGCTCTTACAAGAGCCTGTAAAAGAAATAGAAGTTTAAATGGAAATATTTATGATTAATTATCACACTCCAAGTCTTCTGAACTTTGTGAAATAAAGTTAAGGAGCTTGAAGTCTCTCCATAATGGTTCCAATATGAGTACGATATTTTTCCTTCCCTAAGGAGTCATGGTTTGCGAGAAAATTGTCTATCCCAGTCTTAGAGATGATTGCTCTGAAAATCACCTTGATTTCGGAAATGCAAAGGAACTCATAAAATTTCTGATGTGAGTAAGAATAGATCACTTGGAAAGAATTCGATAATCTTTCCTTATCTTTAGCAGTCTTTAATGCTTTCTTCATAAAGCAATAATCAAGGAAGATGCCAACGAATGTCTGTCATACTTGTAAATCGAAGTCTCTATAAATGCTCATATCAAAGTCCAGGTCTTGCAGTAAAGCTTCTGTGAAGGCTTCAACAGTTTGGAGGAACTTTCCCTTATAAATTTCCTTGTCCTCAGCCATAGCTCCTTCACCTATGTGGCTGTTGTAGATATTCTTGAGTTCTCTTTTAAATGCTCTGAAGATATTCTTGTTCATGACGTCTTCTCTTACTGAAAGATTCTTCCTCTTAATAGCCTTACTGCCCTTCTTCTGCTTCTTCCCAGTCTTTGGCTTTTCTTCTTTGGGTGGTGGGGGGTTAGACCTAAAGAAAATATTAAGATGACTGGTAATAAATACTACTGGTTAGGTAAATAGAGCCTCAACTTACGGGATTGGTACAGGAGCCTTATTCATAATGGTCTTTGGGTTGTTGCATACAGCCCCAAAGCTCTCTTCATTGCTTCCAAAAGTGATGTTGTCCTTCTGTCCTGCATCTTTAGGACCCTGATTAGTAGACTGTGGGAAGAAGAATCAATTACTTCCTTGTTGCTCTTTTCCAAAGCTGAGGTTTGGAGACATTCCAACTGAGTTCAGATTTAGCCCTGGGTTCCTGTTAGGAGTCTGCCCAGGTGTCTGCCCTGGAGTTTGACCTGCGAAAAAGTTCTTCTCGTAGTTAAAAGGAGTATTCTGCTTGAAAGGGGTCGGAGTTGCCGAGAAGTTACACAATGGATTGAAGAAAAATTTTCAATCTGGTGATTTCATAGAATCGTTGTTGAACGCAATTTGGTTGCCAAACTTTTGCACAGAATTGCATTCTCCATAAAAGTTGATCGGCATCTTATTATTTGGGGTGAATCCATTCTCCCATAGCTTGTTATCTGGGTCAACAAACTTAGATGGATCCATTGGCTTGGCAGAGTCGATGTTTGGGTTCATTATTTTAAGATCTTTAAAGGCCTTTGTCTTACCCATCTTATCTCTGTCTTTATTATCAAGATCTACTAATGATGATTAAATAAATTTTTCGATAAGTATTTTATTTCAAAATATCTAAAAACAACAAATAAATTCTATAAGCATCCTCCTCGATGATTAACTCCAGCTAGAGCCTTGACAGATCTAATCTCTGACATTTTCAAGCAATAGAATAAAATTTTACTATCTTAATCACAAGCACAAATTAGGTAAGTTCCATTATTCTGGCTTTTCCGCCTCTAAGGGGTAACTCCATAGGAAAAAAATTGGTATAATTGGGTTCTACCTCGCTCCCTCTAGAATTAGAGCAATGAGTCTAGCAGGTGTCAAAGCTTACTCATCTTTTGTGACATATCGTTTGCTTTCATGTTAATTAAGTACAAATATTATTGAATATTATTTCAATCAGGTTATGCTTATATGGGGTTTTGGGGTTTTGGGGTTTTGGGGTTTTGGGG